TAATTATTTTTTATTATTCATTAATTATTTTTATAATTTTAATTGTGTTATTTTTAATTTTTAATTATTTTAATTTTTATTAATTACTTTAATATTTTTTATTAGTCATCAATTATTTTTAATGATTTTAATTGTGTTATTTATTATTTATTAATTTATTATTTATTATTTGTATTATTTCAATGAATTTCATAAATTATTTTATATGAAATAATACAAATTGAACTCAAAATTATCAAATAATTTGTTTTGTGGGTAAAATAGTAAAATCAGGGAACTTCAGATGCTGAATGGTTGATCAAACACAAACAACATTTATTCAGAGCATCTAAAAAGTAGAAAAGCATCGTAGCTCTTTTTAGATTTCAGCCACTTTTAATATTTTTTTTAACTTTTCAGATTTCAGATTTATCAAATGCCACCTAAACCTTTTATATTCAAGTTTCAAAATCTAAATTTCTTAAATTGTTCAAATGACCGATCATATGTTTTATATTATCAAAAATTCCCCATCATCAAAGTTTCCATCACAAATGACATCTTCTAATAGATCATCCATATAATTGATATTAGATTTTTAGTTACCCAACATTTTATAAATAAGTAAACAATTTAATTAGTTTAATGCATGTAAAAAAAATAATAAAAAGACAAAAAATCCATTAGGAAGAAAAATAAGAGGCAAAATTAGGCAAATAATATTTTCTCGTAGAGAAAATATAGAAAATGGCAAACATAGCTAAATTGGTAATCACCCAAAAAGTGTAGAATATTAAGGAAAAACTACGGTTAACTTGACCAAGAATGAAGAGTGATGAAGGTATTTTTTTGCCCTCGTTGCATTGAATTTGAACTCTTCTAAAATCCAATGAGAATCTAGGAACTCTATTTGCTCTATTACATTTTCATTATAATCTTTTTATTTACCCATAATTACCAAAGTGCCCTTTCCATGTATGCAAACTTAAAAAAAAAATAAAACATAAAATGATCTTTTTCTGTATCAAATAGAATTCGGTTTCAGTCCAGGCACCGTTCGCGCATTTGGAGGACGTACGTGCCATGCGTCCTTTAAATCGTGTAAACGGTTGAAGCATGCGACGATGCTTCACGCCTTTAGTTAAGCGACACTCGTTTTGGCTTCGTTTACTGTAATCCTTAGTGGTTGTGACACTACTGTCTAATGGGTGTGCTGTTTCCTGTAATCTCTCATCGTTTCAATGCGGCAGAGACTAAAGTCCCAGCGAAGGGGAAGCCGGGAAAGCCCTGGTCCTGACTGATCTGAGCATCAGCATACCTGAAGGGACATACGCCCGTATCGGTGAGTATTACTTTTATTTGTGAAGAGTTCCAAGTTTCTGGCTCTTTCCGTTGGTTTGATTTTCGAAAAATGGCCGCAATTTGATGTGTGCAGCACTGCAATTGGGTCTGGCATGGAAACATTCAATTGATGTGGGGACTGGTGTGATAGATGCCAATTATAGAGGTCCTGTTGGGGTGATTCTTTTCAACCATTCCGATTTCGATTTTCAAGTAAAGCCCGGCGATCGGATTGCCCAGTTGATCATTCAGAAGATAATGACACCAGAAGTTTTGGAGGTTGAAGATTTGGATTCAACTGCAAGGGGTGTTGGGGAATTAGGGTGAATGGGTAGCGTGCTATATCGTACGTGACTCAAAGTGAACAGGGTGTTTTGCCGATGGTAATGGAGGTTAAATCGCCGTCGGGTGGATGGGACGAGAGAGAGGGAGAAGAGAACGAGTGTCTCGCCTACAAACTCAAGGAAGAGAACGAGTGTCTCGCCTACGTGACTCGAAGTGAAGCATCCTTGCATGCTTCAACTATTTACACGATTTGAAAGACACATGGTGCCTGAACTGAAGCCGAACTCCATCAAATTACTCAATTGTAAACTTGAGGCTGCCTCAATATTTTAACACAGATTTGGGCCTCATACGAAAGTTATGAGGCAAAATCTGATAGCCTCACCTCAAAGTTCAAGCCTTTTAAAACCATGCAATGAGAATCAATTCATAAAAGAATGACCAATGAATTTATTTACATTTTAATCATTGTAAAGTACTTCACATTATATGGAGGGATGATCGCAGCTATTGGGTCATTGATATTATATTATGTTACATAATTTAGAGCCCACATAATTATTTAGCATAATTAACACTGTTTGATTCATATTGGGCTATTCTTTTCACAATAAAATAGGTTGGATTAGAGTTGTATTTTATCTTACAGTTAAATAAAAAAGTAATATTTTAGTAAAACCGTAAAATTGATGATACTCGGAAATTTTCAAGAAGTAAAATGCTGAGGAAACTCAAGTCGATCAGCGCATCTGTAAAAAGAGATATTAAGAGTTTTGGATCATCTCCTCACAGAGCTCTTCTCACAACGGCCTCACAGCATGTGTTGGTCGTACATTGGCAACATCTCCATACTTATATTTAATATTTATATATAGAGATGTTTCCAATACATAATGGGATGTAACAGTGAATAGGAATGATTGTTCATGTTGGATCCGATCCGATTTAAAGATTTGATCTGATTTGATAGGACTCGGTTTGAATTCGAATCTTATTGGTAAGTTAGATCTTTGAATCTGATCTAATTCGACTTGTTTTCTTTGAAAATTAATAAATAATTAAAAAAATAAAATATATTAGTTTAAATAAAGTAAAAACAAAAAATACAAGTATTTTTAAATTACTTTCGTCATATATATACATGTTTTTTATTAAAAATAAAAAGTATAATAAATTTATAAATAAATAAATATATTATATATTATATATATTTATATTTATAAATATATAATATATATCGGATTAAAATCTTCTCGGATCGAATAGAAAGTAATCCTATTTCTAATCGGATAGTATTATCCGATCCAAATATCCAAACTCGACTAAATAAGACCGGATATCCATTTGCACCCCTAACTGTAAGATTGGTGTAAGGAGCGCTCTATGAGGTGCATATCCCAATTCGGATATTAATACACCAGACACACACTTAGAGTGCCTTGTGTTTTATCTTTCTACATAGGTGTATGCCCTCTTCATTCAGGTTTCACCACTGAAATATTACCAAAAAAAGAAGAGGTTTCACCACTGAAACTTTGGTAGCCTTCCCTGTTCAAAATAATCACAATGATTCCTACGGTGATTCATATTTAAGCCGTCTTTGTTCTGAAAATAGGAGGAAAGAATGCTTCCAAAAAGTATAAACAAACTTTGCACTCAAAGATTGTCAATAGGTAAATTCTAGTTTTGAGAATCGTGCTTGCACCCATCACAATTCACAACCAACTAAATATGATACGATTTTCTTTCTTTGTTTGTTTTCTCATACAAAATGTATCAGAACCAAGTCTGCGTTCCACTTTTTGACCAAACCTGCCTTTGCATTGACACATATGCTTTTTGCACTCTTACCATTTATGGCATCAATAAGGATTTCTTAATAAAAAAAAAGATAATGCAAGCTTTTAAGCTAAAGCCATTTGGGCCATTTTGGAAAGAATACAAATACAAATAGAAGGTTCAGATAATACCATATATGATTTTGTACTTTACATATTTGTATTTATACTCTTCCCACACACTGGTCAAATGGTCCAGCATTTTTTTTGGTACAAAGAAAAAGAATGGTCCAGCATATTTCATTTCATCCATATAATTTCCAACACTTTAATTTGCTTGCACGATAACAGAAATTGAATGACTTCTATCCTGAATTAATTTAATTTTCTAATGTGGACAAACTCTCTCAATTAAGACATTTTTGTTGAGAATGTATGTTTTAGGATCAGTTAAACAACTTCATCTTTTCACCCAGATTATTATTATTATTTTTAATTTTAAGCAGCTTGCACAGCTGATTAAGTAAGAAATGGGATCAAGAGCCACACAATTATAGACTGAATAACTTTAATATGTCAACGCCTCCGTGACGTTTTCACCCATCAACCCAATACCCATTGGACATAGGCATAGAGAAGTTCCCCAAGACCCAAGTCATGGGCAAATGGAGACTGGGGGGAACCTCCTTACATGGTCTGGTATCTTCTCTCCTTTGCACTGCACTGGTCACAGAATTATATGTTTCAGAGGCGGTGGCCGGTGGTAGCTAGATATCTGTTATTCTGCTGTCCCTTTTGTTGGATTTATGGCACAGCATCTGATCAGGACCAGGGTGTTTCATGGTACAAACTGTTACATCATCATCACCAACCGACCATCTCCTTCAGCGTCAGATTCAGATATCAACTCTCTCTTTCAATGCTATAAAGGAAAAAAAAAAATGAAACAAAACTCCATGCAAAACAAATATCTAGCCGACCAATGTCAGCCAATCATTCACTTGAAGAAAATAAAGAAGAAATGATATTCTGACCGTTGATTTGGAATTTTGGAGCCAATATTCTTCAACATATAACTGGTGCTCATGAATCAACATTGCATTTCAGGTAGTCAGGTACATTAATAATAAAATCAAATCAATCGTAAGTACATAAACAAGTGGATTCACAGAAAAATTAAAACAAGAGAGTAACCTCTGAGACAAATTATCAAGATAGTGACTCCCAAAGAATTAATCTTTCAGGTTCCCATCAATGCCTTGCCTGCAATCTACTTGCATGGAAATTAATAAATGAGAGGAGGAGATTGAACCAACGAATATTAACCCAAAGAAGAATCCATATAAATCTAGAAAGCATCAGAGAGGACAAAGACAATTTGCAAGGATACATCGCTTGGATTCAACCCCTCCCACTTGTTTGTTCTTTGGGCTGCGTTTGGTTGCAGTGTAATTTTATTTGCTCTAGTACAAATGTATGGGAGTGCAAATGAAAAAAAATGCTAATTCTCGTTTAACTTTGTTTTGGGTCTGCTTTATGTCTTAATTTACTTCGCTTATACTGCAATCAAACAAAATAAGCTAAAATTTAAAATAAAATTAAAATAAGTCAGAATTTACATTTAAATCATTTGCACTGACATGGTTTTGCATCAGTATAAATTTGTTTGCACTGCAACCAAACAAACCTTTGCGTGTTAATCTTAATCAGCTGATCTTGGTTATCTTGGTGTTCCTGTAGAGAGCAATAAACCCAAACGAAATATTAAGATTTCCAGTAATACTGTAAAGATCAATACCAGAGAAAGAAAGCTAATTAAACATTTAAAGCATCTATGAAGGAGAAGGATCTCCTACCAGAAGGATCATTGGAACAAAGAAATTGAACCCCGTAACTGACTGCGTCAAACAGTCCGCCTTCTCTACTTTGGGCTGGAACCCAAGTAACCCAACCGATCAGCTAAAACATTTATGTCTTCATTTTCTCTTGTCTCAGCACCTTGTCCTTGTGTGCCGGACTCGTCAGGAAAACTTTCACTGAATAACTCTTCCCAAAATCCATTGTCAAGTGCTTTACTTCTACTCTCTAGTTCCTCTTCTTGCTCTTCCTGCTCTTCAATGGGCTCCTTCCCGGCTTGACTCAGTCCCTGCATCTCTAATGCCAGTGTCTCCAGCTCTGAGACTTCATACCCATACAAGTCCCCTAATTCTTGTGCTTCGACCTTAATGGGGTTTTCTTCTTCACCACTCTGAATTGCCTCCGCTACGTGAACATCACTGGGACCTTGATCAATCGGCCTTCTCCTTTTCTTACTGATTGCTTCTTCTAGTTCCCTTCTCTTCTCATTCTGTTGAACTAACTGCTGGATGAAAGTGGGGTTCCGTAGTGCTCTAGCTAAGAAAGTCACCATCTGTTTCTGCTTTAGTTCTGCTCCCTGTAGCCTTTGTTCCATGGATTGAAGTTGGGCACGGGTGCTCTGCTGTTGCTGTCTAAGCTTCACTAATTCAAAGATCAAAGCCTGCTTGTCACGCCTTAATCGATCGATTTCTCCATCTAATCCAAATCGTCCAACTTCCACACAGTGGCCCAGGGCTTGCTGTAGGAAGGGAGGCTGCGAAAGTGTCTTCCTCCTCTTGATGTTCTTCAATAGATGCTTGTGCCCTCTCAGAAATCCTTCGTTTGCAAATTCCCACTTGTCTGGATCAATCTTTCTAAAACCCTGTAAGAAAAACCATATTCCCCATTTACCATCAAAACTCAACAACAAGAATCCATAAGGTCAAAGATTGGAAACCTTGTTAACTTAAATCCAAGGCCTAACAATACGTACACAGAAAAAAAAAAAGGAAAAAACAAACAAACAAAATCAGAAAATAAAAAATAATCAGAAAAGTAAAGTCCACACCACCCAAATAAAGACAGATACCCGCCACTACTAACTAGCACTGTTTGCATTTCAGGAAATCAGGGATCAACTTAGAGACACCCATAATTTACAATTTTTACCAAAAAATAATAATTAAACTTTTGTAACACACAAAAAAAAAAGAAAAACGTTAAAAACTGCAAAAATATAATAAAATAAAAACCATTAAGCATTCTAGATGATATATGTAGAGGGTTATGAAAGCCGATAATTCCAAATATCCAAACCAAAATGTGGTTATAACGAAAAACCCCGTAAAAAAGAATATTTCATCTCTGCAGAAACTGAACCAAATTAGACAAAAATAGCAGTATGATATAAATGGTTTACTGAAGAAGATACTTACGTAAGTATTGAGCTGTCTAACAAAGCTTGAGAAGTTGTTGTGTTTGAAGTATCTGGGAAGAAGATTCATGGAGAAGGAATGGGGATCCCAGACAATTAAACTTTTGCCCCCTCTGTTCCAAGAAACTATGTCGTCCGTGCTTGGATCGTCAACCATGTCGTAAATTTTCGTGAGGAAAGGTGGAGGGCCGATCTCATTAAGGCCCTCCATTGGCTGTGGAGGAGCCATGAACTGATCAGCGGTGTAGGACGAACTGGCTTCCGGAAACTCTTCCTTCACTGGACCTGGAGGATTCATGATTGGAATTATCACAGTTGCTGGTACGTTAATGGTTTAGGATTTTCTTTTTGTTCAAGTATCGATCGAATCTGCTTATAGAATCAGAAATCGATCAAAATGGATGTCCACTGTCCAGGAATAGCAAGAATGATGAATGAGGAGTTTTTGCTAGAAGGGTCTAACCAAATGGGTACAAAGAATGCAGGTTGGATGATAGAGGACCTCAAAACTAAATACAAGGTAGAGGTGTAGAACAGAAAAGAGAAAAGAAGAAGTTAACTCTGTTTCTGACTAGAATGCAGATTTAAGTTGAAAAGGAGAAGTAGAAAGTAACTTTGGAGAATTAGAAGAAAGAGAAGTAAGAACTAGGGAAAAAAAGGAAATGGGTTTCAGTTAAGAGACCAGGAAAGTCGTTTAGACGTTACAGATGAAGAATCGAAAAATCAAATACTACACGAAGACGAAGACGGCAGACGGGGAGACAAAAGACCCAAGGCCTTAAATAAAATGGGTTCATACTTCATAATGGAAAGTTCTAGAGACAGTTGCCCATTTTTATTTGGATGTATCCGTACTTCTCCGTTTTTATTTTAGATGTGAATTCCGTTTCCTATTTTTTGTTTTTAGTAAAAGAGGAAAAAAAAAAAGAAAATATGAGAGCTCAGAAGGTTCTGGAACTTGCACTCCAGGGGAAGGGGGAAGACGGGAAGAGGACCGGAAGGGAGGGGAGAGGGGGGGATTGTCGGATTGGTCATTGTTGTTGTGTGGGAGTGGGGCCTACGAGAATATAATAGCGGTTTTGGTAGCCAACGGAACTTGTGAATGAGGCCATTCTATTGGTTGGTTTTGTAGAGTAAACCCCACATATAATTTAGTAATTGGATGACATACTCATCATTGAAAGCCTGCTATCGACGCTGAACGCTCTCGTTGAATTTGAATCTATTAATCTGTTATCTACTACGGGGCGCAGATTCACTTGTGCGAGTCGGGTGGGATGGAATTTTGACGGGGGGAAAAAGAGAAAGAATCGAATGCTACGGATTGATTTTTCGGTGAAACCTAACCCTCCGCTTTACCTTACACGTAATAAAATCAGCACAATCAGAACCCTTTGGGTCCCACATAAGAGTCAATCAACGGAATGATCATAATGGATTTTGTTGGTCAAGTGTGATCTTGAAATGCACTGTAGCATGTCTGTCCATTTCAAACTTCACTCCAAAGGAGATGTCGCACTCTCATTTGAAACCGTTACGTGTTTGTTAATGATTGGAGGGAAGTAGAAAAAAGTTTACGACTCTTCGTTGCATCTAAGAGACAAATGATGAATGGTGGACACTGAACAGGATAAAGGATAAGAGCCAATGAGCGATCATTCAAATATTATTCTGGCAAGAAAATTAAGGACGAAGACTGTCTGTGAAACTGGAACATGAAAGCAACTAAATATTCAGATCTATCCACGTGTTAACTATTTAGCTACTTTAGTTGAATGATGCCTGTTGCCTGATGGCGGGGATTAAGAAGAAAAAAAGGCCCTTGTTGGGAATCAAAGGTCGGACATTTACTGCGATCGTGGTTGCAGTACTCCCCTTGCGACCCCCAATCATATACGAACACCTAGTACCTAAGTCAGTCAGGGCCCAGGGCTGGCCGGCCGGGTTTAAAGGTCCATTCAGGCACAACCCAATGTTAAGAATTGAGCTGAGGATCAAATCCAATCCAGCCCAATGTTAAGTCCCATTGAGCTCAACGTTAAGTCCGCTCTGTTAGATCCAGGTCCTACTTACATAGTAAATTTGAGATACTTATTAAATACCAAAGTTGGTCTTAAGATGGATCAGATTCAAGAAAATTAAAAAAAGGGGGTAAATTTCTTAAACTATTTTTATGATTTAGTTAATTGACTAAGTATATCTTAAGGCTATACTTACTGTTTTTGACAATTGAGTAATACTTCCCTTACTATTAACTTTCGTCATAAACCGTGACTGTTGTAACTTTCAAAAATACCCAACTTACCCTTCTTATAACTATTCAAATCACCCATCATCTGCAAGTTGGCGACATTCTCATGCAAGAAGCTTCCTTCCCGAATCGTCGATCAGAGCCGATGCGTTAAGCTCTAGCTTATCAACCCTATAGAAAAAATCAATGAAAGTCTGTCTCTTGCCATCACGAAGAAAACCTGAAACCCCCGTAGATACAAGTTTCACATTCAGTGAAGTAACAAGCTGCCAATGTGGTGTTCCGGAAACCAAAATGGTCTCGGTGATCATCGGCGAGCTTTGAGGCGAGGTCGGCATAGTATTTCAACAGGTTCGGATGGCGTGGCGTCAGATCTTGACGGACATTCGTGAGAGGAGGTGGACAAGGGGCGGCGGTGGAGTCGACGGATGAGCGTGATAATTTGGCGGGAGAAGGTCTGGTGGGACTCAGTGACGAGTGCTTTTGCTTGGTAGAATGGAGGGGAGGAGTTGGGCTTGGACTTGGAGGGAGAAGCATGGAAGATCCAATGATAACCAACTCTTTCATTCTTGGCCAACCATTTCTTCTGGTGAGAATTCTCGTTTTTTATACAACTTTCGAGTTTTGGGTCAGGAAATCAAGATTGAATTTGAAAGGCGGGCCTCTTTTTTGTCGAGGTTTGGGTTAGGTTGGGTTCGACAATTGGACTGTTAAATGACTTACTTTGCCGGCTGAAGTCGGTGACAGGGGATGAAAACTGTGAGAAGAAGAGAAGAAGAAAGAGAAAAATAAGAGAGAGACTGGAGGTGGGGTTTAGGAAGAATGTAGATGCCGGTGCCGAAGTTATAAGAAGGGTAAAGATGTGATGTATTACGGTACTGTACATTAGCCCTGTTCAGCTTCTTCAAGGTTGCAACACCGAACAGAGCTGGCGGCGAACCTTGTTCTGCTCTCCCATCTCTTCCTCTCTCTCTCTCCTTCCTGGTTCAACCTTGCGGCGGTGACAACGAAGCCTCACCATGCTTGTCTACTGATTTGTAATTTTGATTTCAGCATTGTTCATCATCGAACACTATTCATCCATTGTCCCCAATCTCCCGTAAATCTGATACTCAGTTCATCATCTAAGGCAATGAAGATTTTCTACCTCCTCGCAAATCAGATTTTGGCATAGTTCATCAAACACTGTTCATCCATCGTCCCCAACCTCTTGCCTGATACCCTGTTCATGATCTCCATTACAATGTTGAACCAGAGGTGATGAGGTTCTCCACCTCACCCAAGCATTGAACCAACACTGTTCGCCCAAGCATTGAACCAGCACTGTTCATCGTGCAACAATTTTCGTCACTTGCAACTGGTCCTTCATCGGCAACACTGTCTTTGATTCCTCTATTCATGGGAGAGATGAGGGAGAAAGAAGAGAGAGTGAGAGAGGGGGGGGGCATGGATGGAATCGAAATTTCATCCGCTGAATGTGCTCAGAGGTAGCTTGGGCGGTGGAACAGGGGAAAGCGGAAGTAGGAGCGAGAGAGAGAGAGGGTACAAGTCGAGAGAGGGCGGTGGAACAAGGGAGAGTGGAGGTAGGGAGAGAGAGGGCAGTGGAGATAAGCCTCAGCAAAAGGTGTCAAAAATTTTATTTTAAAAATTTTAAAAAGAATGATGGGTACTTTTTAATCCTTCCGGTAATGGATACCGACGATTAGGGAAGTGTTAGTCAATTATCACACAGGATTACACCTGTTCATGGGCCGGGCCGGGCTGGGCTTTTACTCTTCATGAATAGAAATTTGTTAGGCTCGAGTTTGAGCCCGACCCGACCAATGGGCCTATAATTTAGGCCCGAGCCCAGCCTAATAAAAAGCCCGAAGTCCGAGCCCGGGCTTTTATTCACCGCCGGTGACTGTGTTCATCGGAGCTGAGTTCGCAGTGAGCTACGATTTTAACAGTGAAAAGTGGGTTAGTTCGCATCTGAGAGAGAGAGAGAGAGAGAGAGAGCGAGAGAGAGAGAACTCACTGCCGCCGCCGGTGTCTGAGATTTGAAAGAGAAGTGAGAAGAGGAACGAGAGAAAGAGAAAGAAAGAGAGAGAAATAGAGAGAGAGAGAAGGAGAGGACTCACCGCCGGAGTTGTTGCACCAGTGAATGTTTGCCATCTTGCCGGTTCTGTGGCTGCCTGAGAGTGTGAGGACTAAGGAGGATTTGAAGAGAAGAGAGGTTCGGCTAAGGGGAAAAAGGTGAAAGAGGTGAAAGAGAAGAGAGGTTCGACTTAGGGTTTTTTAAATTTAGTCTATAGGTCGGGCTGGTTTATTTTGGCAAATCCCAAGCCCGGCTTGAATTTATTGCAGGCCAGGCTTTTTGGCCCGAGGTTAAGCCCATGGACTCATTTACATGTTCAAGCCCGTTCAAGAGCCGGGCTGACGGGCCACCCAGCCCATGAACAGGTCTACACAGCGTTAATCAATTTTCAAAGAGTAAGGATACATTTAGTCAATTCACGATATCATGAGGGTAATTTAAAAAATTTTCTCTTAAGACGTGAATAATGGGAATATTGGATTTTGGATCATCTAAAGTAGACATCCTTCCAAGCCTGTGTCTCAATTACCAGGCTGAAAAAAAAAGGTCTATTTTTTGGTATTGTATGTCAATATTTTGAACCTTGCAAGGAAGTTATGTGTCACAGCAAATGTGAACCGATCGAATCGGCATGTGGGTCTAATTTTGACGCAACAGGATATGCTACAAAGTACAAACACAAATGCCTCGCTAAGTAATCAAATATAAGTTAACACGCTAGCATTCTGTACAATGAACACATTTATTTGTGATTACTTACTTAGCCAGGTTTACATACTTTGTGAGGAACCATGTATTAATTCCATTATATTGATTGAAATCATGTAGTTTGAATTATTGTTTTAAAACCCAATCCAGAGCTTGAACTGTTCTGCCCTATATACATCAATGGATCAACCCATGGTATTGTCAACATAAAAATTTTTCAAGAAAAGAATACAATAACCCACTGAACAGGTTAGACATATCTATCAACATAAGAATTTTTCAACAAAGAAAATATGTTGACGTTTGGTGTGGCTGCGAAATTCAACGGTCATAATAAATAACGTCGTTTGGTGTGGCTGCTGACCACAATAAATGCTCTACCATTTTGATTTCACCAAAACTGCCCATTTAATTCGACTCCTCAAATTCTGCCTCTCCATCTTTCCGCCAGAATTCTAAGGGGCATGTTTCCTTTTTTTTTTCTTCTATAAAAGGGGTGCCTCCTGGGGGTAGTGGGTGCATGGAGTGAGAGCATTAGAAAGCTGAAGAGATTGGGAGAATTCCATCACCATCTTCCGGCAAGATCTGCTCCTATTCTGTTTGGGATCGGTTTTCTTCTTCACTGCTGCCATTAAGGGTTCTCTCACACCTAATCAAAGCAGTCATCTATGCTTTTGAGTGCTTCAAGGCTTTGTTAAAAGCATTTTCGGCACTAGTAAGGTGGTC